CCCTTTCCTGCTGCCCGAGGTTGACCATGTCACCGGTCCGCGTGCGCCCTCTACATTCGGGCGAGCCCGGGCCCGCGACATGGCCCCCTCCGGGAGCTGGCATTCCCCCTTCCTCCCCCTCTCTCTGCTTGTTTGTGTGCTCCCCCTCCCCAACTTGCCCTTCTGAGTTTCAAACGGTGTCTCCTTAACCTTCAGCCCCCCCCCCCCCCCCGGTCCCCCGGTCCCCTTTTCGATTTCTGTCTTTCCCCTGGCGTGCCTAATCTCGCACGTTCTACCGCCTGGCCAAGGAGCAGGGCTACCGTGCCCGTTCGGCTTTCAAGCTGGTGCAGCTGAACAAGAAGTACAACTTCCTGGCCCGGACGCGTGTGCTCATCGATCTGTGTGCCGCCCCTGGTGGTTGGTTGCAGGTGGCTGCCAAGAGCATGCCCATGTCCTCGCTGATCATCGGTGTGGATCTGGAGCCCATCAAGCCGGTGGCCTCGAATGTCATCACCATGGTCAATGACATTACCACGGAGAAGTGTCGCCAGGACCTGCGCGGCCACCTCCACACTCGCAAGGCCGACGTGTGCGTGCTCCCTTTGCCTCGGCCCCTCTCGGCCCCTGCTTTTCTGTCGCCCCACATTTGTCCGGGTCATTTCCGCCCGGTGGCCAGGCCCCTGTCTTGTCTAATCCATGCTTGCGTCCATCCACCCGGACACACACACACACACACACACATAGCGTCTTGCACGATGGTGCCCCGAACATGGGTCAGGCTTGGGAGCAGGACGCGTACACCCAGGCGGACCTGGTGCTGAAGTCCCTGCGCCTGGCCACGGAGTTCCTGGTGGAGAATGGTGTGTTCGTCACCAAGGTCTTCCGGTCGAAGGACTACAACAAGCTGCTTTTCGTCTTCAATCAGCTCTTCCGTCGCGTCGAGGTGACCAAGCCCACCTCTTCCCGGTGCGTGTGCCCTCCTCTGGGCTTCCATGCTCACTTGCTGCTGCTGCTCTCTCTCTCTCTCTCTGTCTCTCCCACCGACGCCCTCCTGCCTGCTCTACTCTACCTTTCCTCCTCCTCCATCTCCCGCCATTTGTTTCTTTCCCTTCCCCTCTTTCCCCCCCCCCCCCCCCCCCCGCCGCCGTCCATGTGCCCTGACTCCTGCCTCCACGCCGTGCAGTAATGTGTCGGCTGAGATTTTCGTCGTCTGCATCGGGTATCTGGATCCGAAGAATCTGGATCCCAAGCTGCTGGACTCGAAGTATGTCTTCAGCGAGGTCGACGACGGGGCCAAGTCCCTGACCGTCCGTGACCTGATGAAGCCCTCGCGCAAGCGCCACCGTGATGGCTACGAGGATGGCAATGTCACCCTGTTCAAGACGACCACGGCGGCGGATTTCATCGAAGCCGAGAACCCGGCCAACGTGCTGGGCACTTACAACGCCCTGACCTTCGAGGATGACAAGTCCAAGTCCTTCCTGGAGGGTATCACCGGGACCCTGCTGACCGACATTGTGGAGTCTTGCAAGGATCTCAAGATCCTCGGACCGCGCGACTTTGCCCGGCTGCTGCGCTGGCGTACCAACATCCATCGTGAGCGTGAGCGTGTGGCTCGCGAGGCCGCCGCTGCCGAGAAGGCCGCCCAGGAGCCCGAGGGCGTTGTCGAGATCACCGAGGAGAACCTGGATGAGGAGGTACGGCGCGTCAAGTTGACTGGTTGGGGGTGGGGGGAGGGGGGGGGGGGGGGGGGGGTTTGTGAGCCTGCTGTTGGGGCCTCCCCCATCTTCTTTGTTTTGCCCCCTCTCTCTGCCTACGTGGTTTTCCGTTTCCTTCTCTGACCCCCTCTCTCTCTCTCTCTCTCCACACACACACACAGCTCGCCAAGGTCGAGGCCAGCGTCCAGGCGGCCGACAAGCGCCGGCGTAAGCAGCTGCGTCTGCTGCGCGTCAAGCTCCAGAGCCGTATCCGCCAGCTGGCCATGCAGAGTGAGACCGGCGAGGCCATGGATGAGACGCTCTTCTCACTGCGCGAGCTGAGCAAGAAGTACTCGGACCTGGCGGCACACTTCGCCGAGGGTGGCGAGGGCATCGTCCTGAAGTCCTCCCAGCACGGTGAGGATCTCTTCCTCGGCTCGGACGCCGAAGAGGAGCTGGAGGAGGATGATGACGATGGCGAGGTCGATGCGTCGGACATCGACGGCTCCGACGCCGAGGCGGCCGGTCCCGACTCCGACACCGAGGAGGCCCACGCCAACTACTACGGCGAGCACACCGACAAGGACACCTACCTGGCCATGATCGAGTCCAACATGCACGACGAGTGCGTGTCCATGCGATGCTGCTCTTGCTCATGCGCCCTCGCTCCTTGTGCTGCTCCCTTTCTCCTGCCCTCATACTGACTGTGCATTCCCCCCCCCCCCCCCCCCCCCCCCCCTCCCCCCCCGCCCCAGATCTCGGCCCCGCCCCCCCCCCCGGCCCGCCCCTGCGTTGGCCTTCGCTTCCGCTCGAATTAGCTACATCTCCTACCTGGAGTCGCGCAACAAGACGGCCCTTCTGCGCAAGATGGCCAAGATCGAGGCGTCGAAGAAGCGCAGCCGCGATCCGGCCCAGCAGGAGGAGGATGCCGACTCCGATGAGGACCCGGTTCACCGGGCCACCCGGCACCGCCATCAGGCGACCGGGGACCATGATGAGGGCGATATGGATGCCGGCGCGTCCGAGGCCCTTCCCCCCTCGCAGCGGGCGTCCATCTGGTTCAGCAACCCCCTGTTCAAGAATGTCCTCGGCGACACGGTGACCAGCGCCCAGCTGGACATCGCGGATGAGGATGACTCCAGCGAGATTGCCGATGAGATTGAGGCCATCCAGAAGATGAAGCGCGAGTACACCAAGGCCAAGGGTCGCGCGGCCCTGGCCGCCGGCTCCGGGGCCGGGTCCCGCAAGGTGGTCGGCCGCATTGTGGACGACGATTCGGATGACGAGTCGGACCATGCGGACTCCGAGGAGGATGCCCACTCGTCGGGTGACGAGGGTGCCCATGATTATGACGATGATGAGGACCTCTCGGACATGGACTCCGACGATCTGGCCGACCTGGAGGAGGGTCTCGGGTCGGATGCCGAGGATGAGGATGGCTTCGAGATTGACCGGCAGGATGACACCAGTGGGGATTTCTCGGCCATGAAGAAGCGCGCCCTGGATCCGGCGCAGATCACCCTGGCCAGCCGGCTCCGGTCGAAGATCCACCGCGAGGCGGAGATCGATGCCTCGTACAACCGCTACGCCTTCGACGATGACAGTGCTCGCGGGGAGCTGCCTTCCTGGTTCGCTGATGATGAGGGTCGTCACAACCGGCCGGAGATGCCCATCACCAAGGAGGCCGTGGCCCTGCATCGTGAGCAGCAGCGCGCGGTCGATGCCCGGCCCATCAAGAAGATCCTCGAGGCCCAGGGCCGGAAGAAGGTCCGCGCCACCCGGCGCGCCGAGCGCATTCGCCAGAAGGCCGAGGCCATCATCAACGAGGGCGACCTGTCGGAGAAGGCCAAGCACAAGCAGATTCTCGGCCTTTACCGCGCCAAGATCAAGAAGGTGCGTCGTCGCAAGGGGAGAGGGCCGCGCGCGCGCGCGCGCGCGCGAGAGAGAGAGATGCCCTGTCATATGTCGTTTTTGCCTGTTTGCTGGTTCCCTGTTTTTTTTTCTTTGCGCCTCCCTCACTCCCCCAGACTACTGACTGCCCCTGCTGCGATCGACTTCTCGTCGAATGGATATATACCCTGCTCCGCACCTACCCGCTTCGTCTCTCTCTCTCTCTCTTTCCCTCGTGCACACAACAGAAGGAGGAGGTTACCTACGTGCCGGCCATCGGCTCGAACAAGGGCATCCGCACCCGCCCGCGTGGTGTTACTGGTCGCTACAAGGTGCGTGCTTGCTCTTGCTGCCCGGATATCAACTTGCCCGTTCTCTGTTGCCTTGATTTCCCGAGACCCTCCTGCCTCCTTTTCTGCCAGCTGACCCTCCCCTTCTCTCCCCTCCCCGCCCCCTCCCCACACACACACACACACACACACACACACACACGCTTGTGCCCAAACACAGCTGGTCGATACCCGCATGAAGAAGGACATGCGTGCGCGCAAGGCCCGGGAGCGCCGCGCTCGCAAGTAAGCGCGCCTTTGCCATAGTCCCCTTGCCCTTTCGCCCGCCTTCCCCGAGGTGCCATGGCGTGAGACAGTGTGTGTGTATGTGTGTGTGCATGTGCCATCGCTTCTCCGCCTCTCCGCTTCTCCCTTCCTTGTGCGGTGTTGCACCACCCCCTCCCCCTAGAAAGAGACTGGCGCCCCCGGGATGTGGAGAAATGACTCGTTCTCTCCCCCCCCCCTCCCCCCCCTGTGCCGGAGCGCACCCGCCGCGGCTTGCCCTTGTTGTTCCTATTTATACACACTTGTCCACTTCCTTCCTCTTTGGCCCATGCGCACGCGTGCCCCCACTCACCTCACCCCCCCCCCCTGGGGGAGGGGTACGCGGCACGTGCGCTCTCCTGCCGCGGCCCGGAAAATATACAATTTATAAAGTTTTTGAAAAGCACGTCCTTCCTTCTGGTGGAACCGGCTAACTCCGCAAGAAGGAGTGCAAGGCGACAGAGAGGGGGAGAGAGAGAGAGAGAGAGGCAACGGAAGGGACACACTGACACGAGAGCACATGGATAGTCTATATGTCGAGAAGAGGCCGGCGGTCAGTCTTCGGCGGCCAGGCCGGCCGCGGCGTTCCACGAAATCTCTTGGTCGATGCGCATGAGGGCCTCCTCGAGAATCCGCTCGACGGTCAGCTGGACCCGGGCGCGCGGGAGATGGGGCCAGGTGGCCCGCTCACCGCGGTGAATCCCCTGGCGAAGACGTGTCCCGCCGGTGGGCGTGGAAGATAGGGCGCGCGCGCCGCGCTGGAAGAGAGTCCGCTTTCGTGCGGGCCCGGTCCCCGCCGAGGAGGAGGTCGGGCCCCCGGCGGAGGATGACGAGGCGGCAGAGGAGGCCCGGCCGCCGGCGCGGGCCCGCCCGGCGTCAGTTCCCTTGGCCCGGTTGTTGGCCGGTGCCGAGGCCGACGCCGGCTGGTCGCCGGACCCGGAGGACGACGGGAGCGGGTAGATGACGATGTGACCGCGCTCATGCACGGCCAGGTGGCCCTTAAGTGAGGCGAGACCAGCCGGGAGGAGACCCAGAGAGAACAGCTGTACGAGCACACATTGCCGACAGGGGTGCCCGACGGGATGCCGGGATGTGAGTGACATGTGAGCATGTGTGTGTGTGTGTGTGTGTGTGTGTGCGTGTGCGTGTGCGTGTGCGTGTGCGTGTGCAGGGAGGGGGGCGGGGGGAGCGGAGGGCGCCCATGCGATCAAAGAAGGTGAGCAAGGCACGCACCTGAGACAGGCGGTATTGTGTCTCCCGGCGGACAAATGATCCAACAGAGTAGCGGAAGCGCCGGGAAAAGCGCAGCAGGCGAGCCACGGCGCGAGCTGGCAACGACCAGGAATTCGGAGCGATTGACCGAACGGGCGGCGGAGGGGTCACTGATGGGGCAATCGGCTCGAAGACCACGCTCATCTGGCTGACAATGAAGTGGTTCTATGGACGACCGAGGCCATGGTGGGAGGCATACAGGTTAGACGGTCGGAATGGGAGGGGGGGGGGGCGAGAGGGTGAAAAAGCAAAAAAAAAAAGGAGAGAAAAAGGGAAGGGCGACAGGGGGCGCGGGAAGAACGAACCACATTGAAAAGCTCAGACAGCCGGGTCGAGGGCAAGTCACCGCTGTGGAGGCGCAAAGTGAAACCCGACAGGGGCAGAGTAAGCACCAAGCTTCGGGAGGACATCAGGCGAAGAGGGAAAGCAAAGGCCGAGGAGGAAACGCACAAGTCCGAGTCCAGCGGCAGGGTCGGCCCGCCGGGCAGGGGAGCCGGGGTTGGCGTGGCCGCGGCAAACAAGCTGGCCAGCCAGGACCAGGACAGCGTGCCATCGGTGTTGGTAAAGCCACTTCGCAGAAGCGGGTCCTGGTATTCCAGCGACGATGGCGACGGCGCCGGCGGCGACGACGGCGCCAGGGGGATGGAGCGCGGCGGGGCCGCTGACGCCAGTAGATTCCCCGACGAGGAGTCTGACAGAGACCCGCCAGCCGGGGCCGGGCCGGTTGGCGCCGTCGCCGAGGTCGAGGAGGACCGCCCCCGACGGGAGACCGGCGTGCCAGATGCACCAGCCTGAGTGGCCGCGCCGCCGGCCTGGGCACTGGTCCCACCGGCACTGGTCCCAGCCAGGGGCATGGTTGACAGGAGGGACTCCGGGGAAATGGTCGTCCCGCCGGGGCGGCCGGAGCTCGGCAGCCAGGGGATGTGCTCGCCGTCGGCCGTGCGTGCCAGCACCGGCGTCGGGGAAATGAGCCCCGGCGTGGCACACGCCGCACAGGCCGCCGACCAGATGATCTATGAGCAGTGATGTCAGCGCCAGCAAGGCAGATCACCGTGCACGGGGCAGATGGGCGAAGGAGCAAGGGAGTGAGGAAGCAGGAGAAGGGGGCCCTCCAGGAAACCGGCAGGGAGAGGGAGAGGGAGAGAGAGGGAGGGAGAGAGAGAG